TAGTCTTTCGAATGCTCTGATTCAATTTTTAGTTACTTTATTTTAATTGGCTTTCTCAGAAATGGGACTTTTATTATGACTAGACTCACGTCTATTAATTCAATACTGACAGAACCAAAGTAGAATAAAACTTAAATTGATAAATTTGTGCTTAATAGGTTAAATGTGCTCCTGTGAAAAAAATTTACGCGACACGTAATATTTATTATCAGTTCGGTATCTAAGATTGAAACTCTGAAATTAGAATTTCATTATTGTAGTCAAAATTCCGAATTCAATTTCAAATTGAATTTCAGATAATCAGTTACGATCTGAAACTTAATTTGTAAAAAAATATTAAGAATTTTTTTTTTTTTGAAAAAAAGCGTTCTGTTACATTAAAGAATGAATTATTTGGAATATTTTCGCAGAATTTGGAAAGAAATAACAAGTAGAATTCAGAATTATGGAAGTTTAAAAATAAGTTAAATTTAGTAAGAGACTTCTTATCTATCAAAATAGAAAATCGATCAATAATAAATTTCATATGGGATATATATTTACCACCCCATAGGCACGTCTGTTATTAGGGTAGAAATTAGGGCATCTGAAATTAAATAAAATAATGCCACAAAATTTTTAAACAAAGTTGTCAAAATTTGCACCAAATTAGGTAGGTTTGCTATGAAGATCAAGTTATGGATCATAAATCGTAAAATAGCAAACGACCCATATTATCATAATGAATAATAAATTCTAGTAAATTGATCTGATTTTAACTTTTTATCAACCAACATAAACTTTTGGATTATAAGGTGACCAGTGACTTTTGTAAGACTGCTGTACTTGTTGATAAATTTAAAATGTCGCAGCAGCAGCATTATTTAAATCAAACAATATTATCAGGAAGAAGAGAAGTAGTTGGTATATTTTTTAAAGAAAGCTTACCTTTCCTGCCAGCAGATATAATAAATTGAAATGCAATATCTTGCCATTCGTATATCCAAATCTAGTTGAGGGCTCCTAAACCTGCATAAATCTGATTACTAGAAGCAGAGTTATCGTGCTGCTTGTTCATACTCCTAATATTCCAATTTATAATTTAATTTATTATAAAAGAAAATTAAGTTTTTTCATAATATTGAATACTATCGATTATGTATTTTCTAAATACAAATAACTTATTATTATTGCAAATATAATATCATTTTATATTTCTGCAACAACCAAATAAAAAGATTTTTTACAAGAATAAAGTTTGTTTATCATTATCCCTCATTAATTTTGAAATATAATTTTTATTGATTATTTTCAAATTAATTATTCAAAAACTTATAAACTATTAAGTTATTTATTTATGGTGTCATTATTTTCTGGTTACTTGAAATATTTCATAATCTATAATCAATTCTGTAACATTTGAACCACTATCGAAGATCATTTTAACTTCAGGATAAGTGTTAAATGGATAGTGTCCTAACAAACTATTATTTACAATATATAAATCACATAACTGACCAAAAGCAGGCCCAAGATCTGAACGGGAGAATACAGCATATTTTTGTTGTTCAATATTATTTGCAACTCTTGCAATGTACCCCGAATTAATATCTTCTTTACTTATAAAAGCAAATATAAAACTGTCTGACGTAAATCCCCACTTACCACCACAAGAAAGAAGATTACTGTCATCAAGTTTCCAAGTTAATGGATTGTACCCACCAATTAATTTAGCATTTTCTTGCAATTTTGAAATCATGATAGTTGAACATTTGTTATCAGATAACTCATGAAATTTCTTTACATCAAATCCATCTCGACTAGCACGATAAAGAAGTTGAAGTGAGTAAGGAATATTTCCGGAATTATAAAAGAGTTTATCTTTTTTATCAATCCAACTTGCAATTACTGAGAAGTGATTATAATCAATAAGAACAGAATCAAAAGACAAGTTGGATCTCTTAGGTAAAATTAAGGTACTTGATGATGTATCAGGATCAATATGATATCCAATTATATCCCTATATAATTGTTTAGGAAAGATTTGTTCAAATGGACTAACACTTCGCCAAAAAGCTTTTCCGGGAATTTGAAACCATCTAATGTGTGGAATCATATCGTGGAGAATAATTTCCAACTCTTCAAAATTGCTTGATGTCCAGCGAGATACATTATCGATATCCAATGACGTGGATAATTTTGAGATGCCCCATTTAAGAATATAGTTCCAAATTTCAAATTCATCCATTTCAAGTTCATCTTGCTTCAAAAGGCAAATAATTGGATTTTTTCCTAGTGATAAAAATTTCGGAGATTTAAAAAGAATATCAGGATTTGTACAAATATTTTCTAAACAATAATTTCTTAGGTCTCCAAAACCTTCACATTGAAAGATAATTTGAAAATTTTCGACCAGATCATTTCTTAAATATTCTGCTTGATTATTGATTATATAATTTTGAATATAATCTCTTAATTTTTGAAGATTCAATTCGTCGGTTGCGATCAAAAGTTTCAACGCTTGTGTTCCATTTAGATTATCCAAATTAATTATTCCTGTATAAAAGAACTTTAAAATTAATTCAAAGATTTCCGGTGAAATATTTGGCTTTTTAAAAATAAAAATTCCATTTGCTTTTTCTGCCCATTCTTTTGAAAATGCAGCTTTAAAATATGTCGACCTTGCCCCTAAAATTAATGAGTGCGCAATAAGTTCTTTCATATTTTTGCCTTCTCCAGCTTGAATTATTACATCGTAATTTTCTCCACTAGAAAGGAGTTTTCCGATATCATAAGATAAATCTGGTAAAAAGCTTCCCTCCATGGTGTTTTAAGAATTAAAGAAGAATGTTTGACGATCGCAAGCAAAAATTCGGAATAATTTATACCAATTCCGAGTCATGTGAGTCATGTGAAATTCATTCCGCAGCAAATACTTGGCAATGAAGATGACGTATATCAATATATTAAACAAAGTACATCAAGATGCGCTAACCTACAAAGGTTTAATGTCATTTTGCGGATAACCTGTGATGATTCTGGCCATATTTATTGTCCAACAATCGGAAATTATAATTGTGTAATAGCTGAACTTAAGATACCTTTGATATATGTTCAACTAATGGTAGTACTGGTTGGAATATATTTCATAATCAGGAAACATACAATATATTTGAAGTATTGAATTATTAAATTTTATTTTTATTATGGCAAATTATAGAAATTTTTAATTGTAATAAGTCTTAAATTTCCTTAATGTATATGTGACTATATAAGAAAAATACCCGTGTTGCGTTGGGTGCGTGATTAACTATGTAAATCAAAACTATGTCAAGTTATATAATAAAAATTATCAATGAAGATTTTTTTATAATAATAATAATAAATTAAAATTTTACTATTACAATAATATAATAATACATTTATTAATGCAAAAATATACAAATTAAATATAATAATGAATTAATAATAATGTCAATTAATTTATACAATATTATATCAAATATTTTCAATTTAGCAAAGCATTTGTTTAAAAAGCTCTGAAGCAATATCTGGCCCAAATAGCTGAACTGTATTTCTTGAAGTAGTCTTCTTGACTCATTTCTTTGTTTCACACTTCCTTTAAATTGTCCAAATTTTCTTTTGAAATTTTATTTGATGACAAATGAAGCTTTGATTATTTCATTTCAAATGTCATATTTGCATGTGTCTTTAAATCCAGTTTGTTGAAAAGACCCTCAACTTATTGCTGGTGGATAACAATATAATAGATTTTGCGTTTGATAAAATCATAAAGATTGGGGAAATAATACAACTTTAGATCATAACAAATGCAGAATTGTATAAATTCTTCAAGAAAATTGCCATTTTTACATAGTAATTCACTCAAATCAAAATCATTTATTAATCCATTATTTTTGTCATCTGAGCAAATCGCAATTCCAATTCAGAAGGTGAAGAAATCTAAGACTTTTCAAGAATCACATGATAAAAACTAGATATAAATGATTGTGCATTATCTCCACCAAGCTGACAAATTGCTAATAGTAAATATAACTATTGTGAAAAACCATTTTTGAAAAGATTCTAAAGCATTTTTAATTTCAAGTTCTAACTTATAAAAAAAAGCTTCAAATTCTTCATCAGATAACAAATCCACAGCTTCTAAAGCTGATCAAAAAAAAATAAATCAAAGTCGCTGGTAAGGTTTTGAAGGAAAATGTATCATTTAAAAATTTTGTCTGACATTTCATGAGCTCAGCAGCCTAAGGGCAATGCAATTAATTGTTCATCTTAATATATCATGAAATAGTATCCTGTTCTACTATAATCTATAATAGAGATTCGTAAAAGTGTTCAGCTAAGTAATTAAACATTTATTCTAATATTTAGTTTTAGATCAATAAGTCAAGATTGGAAAAGTCACCAATTATTAAGATAAGCTTTAGGTGAATTTTTACAATTTTCTAATCTTTCAATAAACCAATTTGCAAATTCAATATGTGTCAAAATGTTAATTAAGATATTATTTAGCTGTTTGCAATTTATACTTTAATGAGAATAGAGAGGTAATTGATATTGATCATAATGGAATCCAAGTAATCCATCATAAAAATCTTAAATAATCTAGGCATTTATATTAATTGATTTATTCTTATCACCTGAATTATAACTATTATATAGCTTCCATACTAGGTATAAAGATTGTATATATATAGTTTTCTTGAAATACTAATGTTATTTAAAACTGTTTTAAATACTTTTTGTTCAAAATTAGTAAGTATAATTTGAATAATATGAAGGCTATAACTAATTCTAATTGAACTTGAACTAGCTTTATTATTAAAAAGAATGATTACACTATTTTTTTCTCCTGACATATAGGAGATATTATCTGTTACCCATAATGCATACTTGGTAAAATCTAAGCTATCTTGCTAATATACTTTATGACAGTATTTGATATAGTATTTGCATTACAATTAAAAATATATGTAAGTTGAGTTATAGTTATAACTGGTGCTTAATCTTTATGATTCCAATATTGATAATATAAAATAGAATTCTTAGTTCATCTCAAGTTAATTTATTGACTAATATTCCAAATAATAAAGTAGTAATTATTTGTTGAATTTGAGCATTTATATGTAAATTAGAAATGTTTTGATATTAAGTACGTATTGTTAATGTTGCTAATCATTTTTGTGAGAGTTTACCAATTAAAAATTTATAAATTAATCACATGTATTATATTATAGAATGTAAGAATATTTGACTAACTTGTAAAATACTTATTACAAGTTAAATAGTATTAGATGAATAATCTCGCTTATTTGTTTTATAAATATCTTTTAATTGCTTTTTAAATGCTGTATTTGTAATTTATTTTAATTGTTAAGCTAATAATCAGATTTAAGATATATAATTTGCATTTTAATGATGAAGATACATATTTTGTATTCTAAGAAATTGTGTTTTTTTAATTATGATTTTGTTTTACTGATGAAGTTTTTACAATTAATTTCAAATTTTGTATTAGATTCTTGCAATTTTTGATTTGTGATTAGCATTTATAAAAAGTTTGATTAATATATTCATTAGCCTTTTTTTGTAAATAAGGCAAATAAATATTTCCTTTATTAATCCTTCTAGAATAGCGTATTATTGAAATTAAATGAATAATTGATGAAAGTTATATATCAGATAATTATTCAATATTAGTAAATAAATTATTTAAATTAGCTTGTTGATGTGTTGATTTACTTGTAATTATGTTTAAAATTAATTGAAACTGAGCTTTATCAGTTCTTTATTTACATATATTATAAATTATTAAAAATTTGTTTAATCTAATAATCCAATTAATATTTTTTTTTTACCTTTTTTGATTTTTATGTTTTGGATGTTAATATCTTTTAATTTTTGATATTTCATTCAGTATTAATGGATTGTAATGTGTTTGATAAAGTAACTTATAAATAATTACAATAATTTTATTTGATTCTGAAATGTCTATTTCATTTGAAATATTTCTAATTCTTTTTTTACATATATTATTTGTGTAAAAGTTACAATTATTAATATCTGTAGATAACATTTTGAAAATTAGAAATAGAGTTTATAAAGTTAAAATTAAAATTTGAATAAATGTGTAAAATAATTTTTTACAATAAATTATAATATTTATATTTAAAATTTATTTACACTATTGTATACTTTTATATAAACTATATAATTTAAAATGTTAATAGTTCATGCATGTATATGTGGCTTTACCTAAATTACATATGATTCATATATGAAATTTTCAAAAAAAGTTGTCTCAAATGTATTGTTTAAAATGTGTTGTAATACTTTTATATTATTTTCTAAATAACTTAAAATATGAAATATAATGGTTGACCTTGCTTACCCAAACCTTTGAAGTATAAAATAATTAATTTATTATGTATTTTACTTGATTAATTATTACAGCCCTAAGCTTACTTAAGTAAAATGTTTATCTTGATCTACTGTTTTAGAAGTAAATCATACATAATCCAAAATATTTAATTTTTTGATTTGTTAAAGTTCGCCCGATCATATGCTGTGTCGCCCGAAGCTTGAATTTTGGATCGGCCGATTTTGTATAATGTGATATTTTCAATTATATATGATCGGTAAAAAATGATCGACATGGTGATATAAACATGTCCGCTCTATTATCTTAACGCTCAATTTTTTATTTACTTAAGCAATGGAACCGATAGAAAAAAAGTATTCAATTTATTGAGAACAACATGAATGAATTTAACGAATTTAAAGGAAAAAAAATAATAGTATGGTATGATCTAGGAAATGAGGTCCCATATTTCTAAAATCTTACGAGAAATGAACACAATAAAATTATAAAAAAAGATTGGTATTTCCTTTTAAGCAGATCAAAAATTACTGCGTCATTGTCTTGTGTAACTTTTCACTTCTTATCGTTTATTATTTCATTCAAACTTTCTTATTTGGGCAGATTGGTGAAAAAAAATTTGCTATATAATCGCTATTCCTCAAATTCTTTTTACAAAAAAAAAAAAAAAATTCATTCTAAAAATTACCATGAACATAATAAATTCACTAGGAGCAAAAGATTTTATAGGAATAATTGTATCGATTATTCTTGTATACTTCGCTAGATTTTATTACAAGTATTTAACTCGACCAAATCCATTACCGGGACCAGTTCCACTTCCTATTGTTGGAGATTTATTAGCAATCTTTTATTATGCCAAAGGTGATGTGACACTATGGATGAAGTTGCTACAGGAAAAACATGGGGACATTTTCGAAACGCATCTTGGAAGTTTTCGAAGAATTGTACTCGCTCGAGCAGATTATGTTGAAAAATTAATGTCACCGTCCACAAAAACAAATTACGTGTTAAGATCGGAAAATATGCCAGAATTAGATGAGTTAAACATTTCAGGAAAGGGAATTTTATTTAATACAGACATTCCTACTTGGAGATTTAATCGACAATTCTTTTCACAAGTTGTTCTTACTCCAAG